CGTGTCCGGCAATGGATCACAACCCTCAGTGTCGCGCCCGTACTGGACCGGGACCGGCAACGGATCGCAACCCTCAGTGTCGCGCCCGTACCGGACCGGGATTGGCAACGGGATCGCAACCCTCGGTGTTGGGCCCGCACCTCGCTCAGCCAGTGAGTGGGAACCGGTCTGTATGTGGGATCCGAACCCTCGGCGGGAGCACCACCATACTCCCAAGCGGCGCACTGTAGCAGTGCGCCACCGGGCCGGCCCAAGGCAGAGAAGCCTTCTAATACACATAAAGACACCTAAGAACTGAAGAACATAACATCTTCATTCTTAAGTCCTTGGTTCTTTGTCAGACAAACTCCTTCTTATCCTTTAAAACTCCCGCATAAATATTTCTTCCTCATGAAGTTTTATAAAATACTCTCTGGAAGAGTCAAGTCAGTCCTTTCACTGGGCTGATGCCATATTTGGTTACTTTGTTTTCCTAGTGCTTATCACATTATATTTTAATAATCAGTATATTAGTCTATGTGTCCCACTGCACTCCAAGCCCCTCAAGGACAGGGACAATGTTTTATTTACACTTTGACCCTCAGCACATAGTCTAATGTCCAGCACATACAGTATATCGATAAATGTATAGCAAACATTTGATTGCTTAGCATGATTCAGGCAGGGAGGTAAATACTTATTTATCCACATTATCTCATTTAATCCTCACAACAGTTTCATGAGTCCTGTCATTACCATGGCTTGTAGGTGAGGAAATTGAGACTAGGAGGTGAAGTCACTTGCCTCCAGATGAACAGCTGGTAAATCACCTGTGGTGGGGCTGGAGTGTGGCCCTGGAGAACTCCTTGTGCTAGTGGATCTGTTTTTCCAGCGATTCTCTTGTTTTTTCTCTCAGAGTGAGGATGCGGGTATGCTGGTTGGTGAGGCAGGACAGCCAGCACCGGCGAATCAAACTTCCACACTTGGAAGCGGTTGTGATTGGGCGTGGTCCGGAGACCAAGATCACTGATAAAAAATGTTCTCGACAGCAAGGTAACTGGTCATAAGAATGTGGAGATTACCAGGTTTGGTGCAATAAGATAGTGAGTGATAATCAAAGATACACATTTCCTGGGTTTTCTTGATGGAAAACCTATTGTCTGCCAAAAACAAAACTCAGGAACTGAGCTTTTTCACCCGGAACCAAGGGTCCCATTCATTCCTGATTTTGCCCTCCCAATGTGGTAACATTCAAGGCAGGGTGGAGAGAGGGATGGGAACAGGCAGATTCCATCCTGTTACCATGGGACAGTGGAATTGAGTCCTCCCTACACCCTGCTTTGTCCAGGGAGATTGCTCACTCCGCAGCAAGGCAGTAACTGTGGGTTCTCCAGGCTGAAACCGTGTTTGAGAAGTGATGAGGGGTGCCATCCTTCACGTATTAACTCACACAGAGGGTTGTGTCCTTATAAGACTATGTCTTTCTTAGGGTTTAATCAAATGAAAAGTCTTTGCCCTCAGGGAAAAGCCTTATTATGTACTTCATTTTTTCCTGTTAACTTTGGACATTTCACTGCTCCTTGCAGTGTGACTTCCCTGTGGTAGGGTTTCCCAAGTGTTCTGGACTTAGAGAGTTGGAGTTTGCAGCACTGACTATGGTCTTCTCTACCTCAGTTAATCTAAGTGGAGGGAAGAAAAGCCATGCTTGAGCTTGCTAGGCCCAAGGTAGAGAATTAGCTGCTGTTTTTCTTTCTCTGTCCTCCTCTCACAACAGCAACTAGAGGCATGTGTGTGCATCAGCCTGTCCTCTGCCTGTCCTCCCTGGTGAGCAACTGTGGTGTCTCTTCTTTGCTCCGTCTCAACCCCAGATACTTTGTTCACTTAACTGAACACGAGTAATGTTACCTCTTCTCACACATGCTTATGTTCTCTCCTTGCAATCCTCTTTCTAGAACATTCCATGCCTCTCACCCAAGGCCAGCTGAACTTCTGTTTTTCAGGAATGTATTTTTTACCTCTTTCTCTGTTGAAGGCATCTGACAGGTTTTTTTTTTTTTTTCTTTTTGTAATAATAGTGGAAGCCTGATGTAATCCCCAGCCAAGAGCTTGTGGGGGAAATGGGAACCTTTTCCTGCTGCAGAGTCTGTGATCCCAAGCATGCCAGGGGTTCTGGAACAGGGAAACTTGTGGGGATTCATTGACACTGCCTCATAGGGGTATTAGCAGTAGGTAAGATAATATGTACATTGTTGGCCATTTTATGGAAGGATTTGAAGCTGTTAGAAATTGGTGGGATTTGGAGCCCCCGCCACCTGTGTAAGTCAGTTGCTCATAGGTCTTTCAGGAAATGTCTTTCAAGCTGCCTCCAAGTGAGGATTTATTGACCTTTAGGGAGAACAGAAGCAAGTGCCTGGTTCTTAGTTGCATTCGTGTTTAACTTTTCCTAATCTCTTTCAGTACAGTTGAAAGCAGAATGTAACAAGGGATATGTCAAGGTAAAGCAGGTATGTGTGCTTATAACTTGGATTTCCATTTTAGCCTTGATGATTTTCTTGTGCTATTGACTTTAGAGTGTCTGTGCCAGCCAATGAAGCCTTCTCTGTCATGTGTGGAAATGACAGAGTAATATTGGTGAATATTAAGCATGGTGTCTGGCACATAGAAAGTGGCTAACATAGCAGCAGCTGTATTACTAATGGCATTATTGCTATTATTATAATTATTTTCTGATGATTTATTCCATAGGTAGGGGTCAATCCCACCAGCATTGACTCAGTCATAATTGGGAAGGACCAAGAGGTGAAGCTGCAGCCTGGCCAGGTTCTCCACATGGTGAATGAACTTTATCCATATATTGTACAGTTTGAGGAAGAGGCAAAGAGCCCTGGCCTGGAAACACACAGAAAGAGAAAGAGGTCAGGCAACAGTGATTCTATAGAAAGGGATGCTGCCCAGGAAGCTGAGTCTGGGGCAGGGCTGGAATCTGGGAGCAGCCCTAGCCAGTGCTCTTTGCCCCCAAAGAAGGAGAAAGATGCATCTGCCAAAAAGGTGAGGGTAGTGTGGTTGACAGATGATGTTGAGATTAAATGAGATATAATGACTGAGTGCTTAATTGTTTTGTAAACTGTAAAGCCCAGACACATGTGAGGGGTTATTAACCATGATGAAAGAGTCACTTGTTTCTGGCATGAATATCACTTTGGTGAATGTCCCTTTATGTGTTTTTCTCTTGAATTCCTGAGGTAAGCCACTTGATGGTAGGCAGTATATTTAACATCGAACAACTAAAATGGGTCAGTTGTTGACCTATAGAAGGTTTTTATAGATGATGTAATTCACATACTGATGTCAACGTGGAAACTTGGTCAGGCCAAAGTTGGAGTGTGAGAGGCCAAGGAAGGTATGATTCATGCTCTGGCATTTCTGGCCTCATCTAAATATCCAGCTCTGAATATAGGAAGACAGTGGGGGTGGCTTATGGTCTAAAAGGCAATGGATTGAAATTGGGGGTCTTTCTAGTTTAATTCTCAAAAACTAACCTTATTTCCAAGTTTGATTGGACTTTGCTGCGCACAATATTAAATAATGCCATATTTAATTATTAGCATATGCAATTTATGTTGCTCTTTTTTGTTTAGGAATCACTGGGTCACTGGAGTCAAGGCTTGAAGATTTCTATGCAGGATCCCCAAATGCAGGTCAGAATAAAATTTTGGAATTTAAGTACATTTCATGTTTTAAATGACCACTCCACAGAGGTCATAATAACAATTGAAATCAAAGGATATCAGTCCTTCTGAATGAGATTTATTTTATCAGGCTATTCTGTGAGAATAAGTGGCTTTTTCCACTGGCAATAGGGTAGCAACTGGAATTCTTTAGAGAAAAGCTAACTTCTTCAAATGAGTGTCCTCTCTGCCTTATCCCTTTTATTTATTTATTTATGTAATTAAAAAAAAAAAAAAAGACCAGTAAAGGGATCTTAACCCTTGACTTGGTGTTGTCAGCACCACACTCTCCCAAGTGAGCCACGGGCTGGCCCTGCCTTATCCCTTTAAACCTCTAGTTACTATTAAGGGAAGTTGTGTTAACCTTAATGTGATACCTTTCAAGGGAGCATCAGATAATGTATTATGACCGTAGTATTGTGTTGCTTGGGATTAATAATCATGCATCATCCTTGGAAGAGCCTTTGAGTTCTGCTTCAGTTATGTCCTCATTGACAAGGAGCCAGGTCTGAAAGAGCTCCTAGGAAGTCATATGCATGTGTCACACAGTCTGCCATATTAGAGTGGAGAAGGATGCATTTGAATTTATGCTGCAGAGATTTTACCTCACATCTGTGCATCTTCTGTGTATGCTGTATAGTGTGATGGAAACACAGACTCTGGAGTCAACATGATCTGAGTTGGAATCCTAGATTTCCCACTTAATGATTTGTGCAGGACACTCAATCTATTTGAATCTTAGTGCTCTCCTCTCTCACAATTGGGATACTAAAACCTTTTTGCACAAGATTGTTGTAGGGATTAAGTAAGTTACTTAATGAATATGACAGCACCTGGTACACAGAAGATTCTCAGTAGATATTTGTTTCCTTTTCTTGTGCCCTCTGCTAGGTTTACAAAGATGAGCAGGTGGTGGTGATTAAGGATAAATACCCTAAGGCCCGTCACCACTGGCTGGTCTTACCTTGGGCCTCCATTTCCAATCTGAAGGCTCTGACCAGGGACCACCTTGAACTCCTCAAACATATGCACTCTGTGGGGGAAAGGGTGATTGCAGATTTTGCTGGGTCCAGCGAACTCTGCTTCCGGTTGGGCTACCATGCCGTTCCCAGCATGAGGTAAGCCTTGTGGATAGTGTTGGTGCCTCTTGGTTCTGTCCAGGTGGGCAGATAGATTCAGCCTGGGCTTGCTGAGTGGGCTGATAGCCTGGAAGCCCAGGGGAGCATAGTGGGATGTTTCCAAGGGAGGTGGACTAAAGTTTCCACCCCTCTGCCTGACTTGCCTCCAAGCCTTAAGTCCTGTCTTCTGCTTATAATTCAATCTCGTATGGTTCTTTGTTCCTCTCAAAATTTAAATCTTTGAAGGCCTAACACGTGAAGTAGCTTTGTTAACCTCAGATGAAGAATTGTGGTCAGTGGCTTTTATTAGATTTTTCAAAATTATCTGTAACCCCCAAATGATTAAGGACCATTGCTCTGAAGGGGAAAAAACATCATAGACTTCTATAGTCACAGTTTAGTACACTGAAGATTTAAAATAAAATGACCCCGCCGCTGTCAGCTCTCCTAGTTACATGCACACCAGCCAGCTGTGGCTCATTCTCAGCACGACTACTATCCAAAAAAAAAAAAGAGAGAGAGAGAAAGAAAGAAAAGTATAGAGTTTGCCTTATACCCAGAAGGATTCAGGAAGGAATGATTGATTCTTTTCAAAGCATGTAAACAAGGCATATGTCCTCAGTTCCTTTGATCTAAGCAATGAGACTAGATTTCAGGGTTTTTACCTTGTTTTTTTTTTTTTTTTTCCTTTTTGTCTTTTTTACTGACCGGCAACAGGATCGCAACCCTCAGTGTTGCGCCCGCACCGCGCTCAGCCAGTGAGTGGGAACCGGTCTCCACATGGGATCCGAACCCTCGGCGGGAGCGCCGCTGCACTCCCAAGCGGCACACCCTCCAGTGTGCCACCGGGCCGGCCCACCTTGTTTCTTTTTAAAGATTATGGTAAAATATATATAATAAAATTTACATTTTAATTTTTTTTTTCCTTTTTTTGTCTTTTTTCGTGACTGGTAACGGGATCACAACCCTCAGTGTCGCGCCCGTACCGCGCACAGCAACGGGATCACAACCCTTGGTGTCGCGCCCGCACTGCGCTCAACCAGTGAGCGGACCGGTCTCTATATGGGATCCGAACCCTCGGCGGGAGTGCTGCTGCATTCCCAAGCGCCGCACTCTACCGAGTGCGCCACCGGGCTGGCCCCATTTTAATAATTTTTAAGTGTACAGTTCGTTGGCGTTAAGTATATTGACATTATTGTGCAACTGTCACTGCCATCTATCTCCAGAACTTTTTTTCTTTCCAAACTGAAACTCTGTACCCATTAAACAATAATTCCCCATTTTTCACTCCCCCCAGTCCCTGACAACCACTATTCTACTTTCTGTATCTATGAATTTGACTACTCTATGTACCTCATAAAAGTGGAATCATACAGTATTTGTCCTTTTGTGACTGGCTGATTTCACTTCACATAATGTCTTCAAGGTTCATCCACGTTGCAGCATGTGACAGATTTCCTTCAGGTATTTTTTTTTTTTAACCACCGACACATTTTATTTAGGTGGGTAATTATGACTTAGTTTACTGGCTACTTTAACCAAATGAAATCATTGTGCCACATTTTCCCCAATCAATACTCCCTCTTTTAAAGAGGCATAACTTACAATTAAATGCATAAGAAGATGTATAATTTGATCACTTTTGACAAATATAGTCATGTCACTATCACTCTGATCGAGATACAGAATATAGAACTCATCTGTCATCTCATACCAGAAAGTTCCCTAGTGCCCCTTTCTAGTCAGTCCCCTCTCAACCACCAAGCATTGTTCTGATTTCTTTCTGCATAGATGATTTTTGTCTTTTCTAAAATTTCATATGAATGGAATCATACAGTTCACACACTTTTGCCTGGCTTTTTTTGGTCAGTCTAATGATTTTTAGATTCATGTGTGTTATTGCCTATATTATGGACATAATTTTTTTTTCTTCTTGGGTACTTAGAAGTGGAATTGCTAGCTCATAGGGTGGATTTATGTTGTATCTCATTTTAAAAATATGTGTTTTTTATTGTTAAAAACTTGTTCAAAAATTTAGGAGGAAAAGTCACCCATAATCCTATTTTCCTAATGCAGCAGAGCCCATGCCTAACAGAACCCTTGACCACTGAGCCCTTTTCACATAGTAATTATGGTGTCCATACCTTTTGCATATAATGAATGCTGTTGTGCTAAGGAGAACGATAAAAGCAAGAGCAGGTGTGTGTGGGAAGCAAAATGAGCGGTAAGGAAAGTTGCCACTTACATACCCTTTTATGATACTCTTTATGATGTAATTTTGAATAGATAAACATGATAGAAAGGAAAAGTAATAAGCAAATAATTTTTCCTATTGTAAAAGTAATGTTTCAATTTAGAAAATATTTTTTAAAAGTATGAAGCAGAACAAAGACCTTTCATAATTTCTACCAGTAACTAAACGGTAGACCTTTTTTTCCTATAATGTTCTTTTTCTGCTCCAGGATCCAATCCAGGATCCCACATTGCATTTTTTTGTCGTCTCTCCTTAGTCTCCCCTAATCTGTGACAATTCCTCCTCCTTTCCTGCTTTTCATGACCTTGACACTTTTGACGAGTACTGGCTACTTGTAGTTTGTAGGATGTTTCTCAATTTGGGTTTGTCTGATGTTTTTTTCATGATTAGACTGAAATTATACATTTCTTTTGCTAAAAATACCACAGAAGTGATATTTGTGATTGTATTCTTCCCAATGCATCATATCAGGGGGTGCAAGGAATGTTGATTTGGCTTTTTACAAGTGATTTTAACCTTGATCATTTGTTAATGTAGTGTCTGCCACAGGTTTCTATACTCAAAGTTACTATTTTTCCCTTTGTAATTGTTGAATATCTTAGGGGAGATATCTTGAGACAGTGCTACTATCCTGTTTCTCCTCAAACTTGCACTGGATGATTTTAGTATCTATTTGTGGATCTTGCCTACAATAGTTATTACTATGATATTTACCTTTTTTGGTGTTTTTTTTGTTTTGTTTTTACTATGGTGTTTACCTAAGGAGATTTTATACTTCCCTCATCTAATTTACTAATTGAAATTCTTCTGTATGGAAGAGCTGTCCCTTCTCCCTCATTATTTATTTATTCAATTGTTTATTAGTATGGACTCATGGGCATTTATTCTATGGGTTGTAATTCAATGCTATTGTTATTTATTTTATTCTTCAAATTGTTCTAGCTTTGGTCACTGGTGGCTCCTTTATTTATTTATTTAGAGCAGTAAGGGGATCGCAACCTCTGGCAGGGTGTGGTCTGCACCACGCTCAACCAGTGAGCGCACCAGCCATCCCTATATAGGATCCGAACCTGCGGCCTCGGCACTACCAGTGCCACACTCTCCCAAGTGAACCACGGGGCCGGCCCTCTGGCAGCTCCTTTAGGTCGGCTCCTGTTTCACTTTGGCATGTACCCAACATTTTTTGAGCACTTCTTTGTCTTTTGGTCTCACAAGATGTTCCAGGCTCTTGTATTTTTTTGTGTTCCAGTCCTGGAATGAACCACTTCTCCAAAGAGCCCTAGGTCCTTTTTTGGAGAAGAGTATTTCTAAACTAAGACCTGGGCACTAGGTTTCTGTAATGAGAGAAGTGGGTGTTGATTCCAGGGTGTCTTGCTCCTAGGTCCTCTAAGATGGAGCCAGGAAATACATGTGTGAATCCTAACCCACACAGACACACACACATCTCCAGTCCAGCTCTGCAAGGTTCATTCGTTTCCCTTTTTCTTTCTTTGTAACTTCTTTTTCCAAGGGTAACAGTGAGAAACCTTGTTCTTATTAGCGATAATAAGTTCACTTACTTGTTTAATCCTAGTATACATATAAGATAGTTACAGAATTGCTAACTCATACCCCTGTGAGAAAGACATTTACTCACTAATATTTGTATACCGTTCTTTTTGTCTTTAGCCTCACAGTATCCAGTCAAAATAATGATTTCCAAAGTTACTTAGTTATTTTCTTCCTCATTCCCTTAAGTGTGGTTCTCTTATTCATTTGTGATAGTTATTCTTATTTTTTTTCCTGCTTATGTTCTATTTTGGATTCTGCACACATACTGATTTATTTTGATTATTTATTGGGGAATGTGAAATCTTACTGATTGTAAGAGTGAAAGTCACACAAAAAGGCATTCTACTTGGTTTAACAAATCCAAAATAGAACTGATTTTTCTTCCCCAAACCTGCTTTTTATCTAACCTTCTCCATCAAAGTGGCACTGCCCCAAATCAGCATCTAGTCTATTAGTAAGTCCTGCTGGTTCTATTCCAATCTATATTCAAAATAGGACTGCTTCGGGGCCGGCCTGTGGCTCACTCGGTAGAGTGCGGTGCTGGTAACACCAAGGCCACGGGTTCGGATCCCATATAGGGATGGCCGGTTAGCTCACTGGTTGAGCGTGGTGGTGACAAAATAGGACTGCTTCTTGCCATCTCAACTATAGCTCAGCTCTAGTCTAAGCTGTGATCATTTCTGGCTTGGACTGCTACAGCAGCCTCCTAACTGGTCTGCCTGTGTCCCCTTCTTACACTTTCTGCAGTCCTTTCTCCATACAACAGCTAGAGTGATCTTGTAAAAGTGTTAATAAGGTAATAGTACTCCCCTGCTTAAAATCCTTCAGTGGCTTCCTAATGTTATCAGAATAAAATGCAACCCCCTTGCCAGCCTTTTAAACCCTTTATGATCTGGTTCTTGCTTACTCTCTGCTCCTGGGCTCCAGCGATTCTGGACATAGTTTGGCCACATTATCTTCTTTATGTCCCTTGGTTGCACCAAGCTCTTTTTCATCTTACAGCCCTTGCACTTGGCCTCCCCACTTTCTGAGACACTCTTCCCCCAGATCTTGCTTGCCTGGCTGCTTTCTCAGCTCAAGTCACTGCAGAGCCTTCTCTGAACACTTTAACTAATTAAAGAGGCAACCTCTACCCCCAGGCACCTTCTATCCCATTTCCCTCTTTTATTTTTTCTTAGCAATGTTAACTATTTGAATTTTCCTTGTTTATTTGTTTACTTATTATTTGTCTTCCCTCATTAGAATATAATTTCTATAAGGTCAGAGGCTTTTCCTATTTGTTCACTGCTAAATTCCCAGTGCCTAGAACAGTCCTTGACCCAGTAAATACTTACTGAGCATTAAATATTTTAAATAAATGAATGAGTGAATTGAATTAAATGGACACACTATTGATACTTGATGTACCCATACTTTACTGTTTTGTCATTTTGATTGAGCCATAGTTTTTAATGATCATTTTTTTTTCTTTCAACTAGCCATATACACCTTCATGTGATCAGCCAGGATTTTGATTCTCCTTGCCTTAAAAACAAAAAGCATTGGAATTCTTTCAATACAGAATACTTCCTAGAATCACAAGGTAAATAGTGCTCTTTGGTTTTCACATTTGTTCATTTTCTCAGATGTTCTTGTACTTGATTCAGTAGTTTCTCAGAATAACAATTTGGCCTCAAAAACCCATGTAAAATTTGGTGTTCCCTATAAAGAGAGCACTATTAAAAGAAACTGGGTTATTTGGATTATAGTACAGTTACCACTTTACTGTGAGCAGCCTTCTTGGGGCACCTTGAGAGCTGTTATGTCAGAGTCAAAAAGTGTTTTGTGACAACAGGGGATTTAAAAATTGTGAGAATTATTGGAGTTCATGGATGAGAAAGCTCTGAAAAGTTTTGTCTCTTCTGCTACCAACTGGATAGGAGCTGAGGGCTCTCGTGTCAGGAGTGGTTAATTAACAGGGGAACTTCAGTACTGCTGGTATGAAAGCTATCATTTACCAAGGACGTAAGTTCTTGACGTAGTAACATGGATTGCTTAGAGTGTGTCTTGAAGGAATGTATTATCTCAAAGGTAAGTTGCTCAGGTTTAGAATCTGATCAAGCCCATTCGTAACTTCAAGCTTAGTAACTTTAGAATACCTGGTGTATTGATTGGAGCCATATTTTGTTTGGTATCTTATATTGGCTTTCCAGAGTAGCTGGGATTTGAACCTTTCTTCCTTGCTTGCAGCTGTGATCAAGATGGTAAAGGAGGCTGGCAGAGTGACTGTCCGAGATGGGATGTCTGAACTCTTGAAGCTACCACTTCGTTGTCATGAGTGCCAGCAGCTGCTGCCTTCCATTCCTCAGTTGAAAGACCACCTCAGCAAGCACTGGACAAAGTGATTTTACAGAGCTGGAACTTCCAGCAAGTGTGGCTGATTCTCTGCTGGCACCTGTCTGGGTTGCTTGCAAACTTCTACTCATGTGTGTTAACACTTAACTAATGCAGGATATAGAAGCAGAGGACTGGTTATATACCTCTGTTCCTCACATTTATCCCCCCTCCCCAGAGGCATGTGGCACTTTTTCATCAGAGCAGCCAGAGTGGTCTCTTGTTTATCCTCAAGGCACTGGTAGGTCTTATTCTATGATCTTAATCTATTCTGTAATATTCTTCTCCCCTCCTTCATGGGGAGACTTACTTTCTCCTGTCTCTTCCACTCCCTTCTATCCAAGATCACCTAAATGCTGCCTTCTCAGAAAGTCTGTCTCATTTGTTCTTCCTTGTGAGCAAAGAGGCTAGATGAGGGGGTGGAAGGTGCGGTTTTCTTCTGATATCAGGGGTTCCTGGCTGGTGAGTAAACACTTACCCCATGTAAATCACAGTTCAGCTGTCAGGTCTTCTTGCTGGCCTGCTTGGATCTGTTGTCTGAAAATAAAGTTTGTTTGAGGCATCTCTCTTAAGTGATTAAAAACTATCAGAAGTTCAGCTGACAGTTCTAATGCCAGAAAAAGTAGTTGGTGAATGAAAAAGTTTCATAGAACAACAGTTTTATTTCTCCCTGAGAACAAATTTGGATGGAACTGTTCTATCAAGTTGGTTTTTGGGCAATATTGGAACCAAAGCTAAAAAATTGTTTTTGATCAAATCGTTGATATATTTGGGGATATGACCTTTCATTTGAGTTGTAAAAAAAGAACACTCTTAACAAAAGCTTCTCTTTGGTGAAAGAAAACCTCAATCCTCAGAGACCGTATTTGACTTCAGTCTATTTCACAAGTAAACAACATGCCATAGTGGTTGCTTGGTGAGCTTGGGTATAGTAATAATTAGTAGTAATTAATGATTATAGCAGCTAACAATTGTTCAACTCCTATGTGTCCAGGATTATGCTAAGCAAATTATCTCATTTAATTCTCACCATAGGAACTCTGTGAGGTAGGTACTATTGTTGTGCCCCTTTAAGGGATGAGGATCTAATATTCTTTTTAAAAATAATTGGTTATGAATATTCATGAGATACAAAGCTGATTGTCACCCCTCGTGCCCAAGATATGAAGGCCAGATCCATATTGGCAGCATGCACCTTACCACAAATTGTGTTTGTATGCCATGTCCCTCACCCAATTATCCCCCACCTCCCCCACCACCCCAACTCTGCTTTGTATCCCAAGGTATGTTTTCTTCTGCAAGTCCAACACATCACTGTGGACTTTCTTTCCTTCTTTCTTTCTCTCTTAGCTCCCAATTATGAGTGAGCACATGTGGTGTTTATCCTTCTGTGCTTTGCTTACTTCACTCAACATAAGTTTCTCCAGCCTCATCCATTTTGTTGGAGGATCTAATATTCTATAAAAGGTCCTGGGCTACAAAGTCAGTGTTGGTTCTGAGGCATCAAACTCATTATTTTCCCTGTCAGCTGAACAGCATAAATGTGGGAATAACTAGCAGGGGCCATAGAATCCAGGGACCTTGGGCCTGTGCTGATCAAAAGCTTTTCATGTTGTTTCATTGATTTCCTCAAGGCCAGCAAGTTCCTTTAAAGGCCCCTTTTTAAAGGCCCCCTGTTATTACCCAACCTTTCATCTCTGTCCTCTGTTCCTTCTGTACTCCAGGAATGTAATCCTTATATTACTGCTCGCTTAACATTTCTTAATATTTCAGTGAGAAGATACTCTCCTGATGACACTGATGGAAAAACAGACATGGAAAAGTGATCATTCACATGACACAATAATAGTCAATAAGAACATCAGCCTAACAATGAGACAAACAACCTAATAACCCCTCAGTGTTTCCTAACTTAAAAGAACACCCAGATAGAAACACAAAATTATAGACAGAAACCAATGATATTAATACACCACTTACTCCTTAACTGCTCATAATTATTCATTTTAAAGCGATAAAACTCATTATTTATTGCAAAAAAGGTAAATCTTACAAATGAATATAAACTAAAAAAGCAAAATATCTCCCCCCCCCCTTCATTCTAATCCCATTCCAATGACCTTTTTTGAACAGTTTGGAGTATATTCTTCTAGACCTTTCTGTGGATGTGTATACGTGTTTAAATACACATACCATGTACACACAAATCAGCATGGGTTTTTCACTGAACGGTATGTTATAGACACCTCTCCATTCATTACCTCCAGATCTACCTTACTGTTTCTCACAATTACATAGTGTTCCATTGCATGAAAGCACCATAATTCAAGTATTCTTCTACTGGTAGGCAGATAGTTACGTTATTTTTAGGTTCTCACACTACAAACAATTGTAAAATGTGTATCCCTGTTTACGTCTCTGCATACTCGTGAGGATTTCTACAGGACACATTATGTAGAACTTACTTCCATAGAAAGCTGCAGCCTCAGAAGGACTGCGGACCTCAGTCCAGATCAGACTTGCCCTTAGGTGCACATTTTGTCCTTCTCAATATGATGTTTTTAACTAGCTCTGGTCATCTATTCATTTGACCTTTTGTGACAATGACCTTCCTG